GAATCTAGATTTTTTGTCCCCTCTATTTCCTACCTCATCTTCCCGTGGATCGTACTTTCTCCGTTGGTACATGTAGTCTATTTGCCCCCTTCCCCGCCAACCCGACCTGACACCTCCCTTCATTTCATTCACGTCCTAAAAAAACACACGTCCAATGCATACTACACATAAAAGTTCCACAGACAGAAGCATCAAGCCATATGCTGCCCATCCTCTCCCCCTCTCAGCGCCAGCAACGCCCTCACGTCGCTCACGTATTGCATCCCCTCCAGAAATGGTATCAAATACATCAGGTCGGAATCCGTCGGGTCGCTGATCCAGCCTTGTATCGGGATTGCGTTGTCTAGTTTTGTCATGTCAGCACATCTCCTGATATCAAGTATTTAAAAGGGATATACTCACCCTGATGAAACATATAACTCAAGGGGCTGTTGTCCAAAATCATCACCCGGCTCAAATCCGGCTCAACACTGCTCAGATCCTTGATAAACGCCCCATGCCTAAACGTGCAGTGCTGCCGGTAGTACCTCGCGCTGAAATACTTCCTGTCCGCCTCCAGCCAGTCAATCACTGGGTCGGCATATTCTTGAACCGAAGCGGTAAACACAACCAGGTTATACCACTTGCTCACTCTCCTCAAGAACTCGTCACAGTGAGGGCGCTTGTGGACATAATACAGAATCGGGTGCTGGGGACCAATCGAGTTTTGGCCGCCGACTCCGACATACGTAGTGTTGAGCCGGACTTCGACCATGTGACCAGACGACATGCGCCCGCCTTTGGACATGGAATGAATCAGAGTTTCGTCGAGGTCGAGAATGAGGGTCTTTTGGTGTTCGGTGCCGCCGGGGATGACGTCGCCGGTGTTGATATAGGATGGTTGCCGGCGGGGGATCAGGGGACGGGGAGGGCCGGGGGTCTTCGGGTACTTGGTGAGGGCAGCCACAGGCGAGGTGGGGGACTTGAGGTGCGCCGAGATATCTCCAGATCCGTCACCGCCTCCGGGCGCTGAACCTGCGCGTGCGACGCTGCTGGCGGATTGTCCTTTGCGGTGCTTGCGCTGTCGGAGGGACTCCTCGGCGTGGAGCTTGATTCGGATAGACCGTCGGGCCGGGGCGATCTCTTCGGTGTCCTGCAGTGATTTCGAGCGCAGGTGGTGTTTTCCACTCACACTGTCCCGCCGACTGCCGCCCTGCCTTTTACGCTCTGGGTCCGACTCGGACTCGGAAGATAAACCTGAAGATGACGAACTACTCGACCGCGGTATACGCCCTGCCCTGCTTCCACCTCGACTTGACCTACTGCCGCTGCTCTTTTCAATATTCTCGTGATAATCCATCGCTAGCGCCTTTGCATCTCCACCGTAAATCCCAAAGAGTTTCTTTAGTTGTTGTAAAGGCGCAAAGTCACCGCTTTCGCTATAAAGACAGGCGATCAGGTACACGCCAGGTGCGGTGAGGGTGTGAAGTATCCATCGTAGCGAGTTCACAAAGGCGTTTGCAATGCGCTTTGGATAGAGGACCCAGGGCGAGCCTCTCGGGCTTATCACCTTGGGGGTTTCGTGTTTGGGTGGTATAAGGGGCGTCTTTTCGTCGATCGCATAGAGGTCTTCGCGCTTTTCGAGAGATCCTGGGTTTTCTACTGGGAATTCTTCGGGCTCGGCCGTCAAGTTCTGCTTCTCGCCGAGATCGGCCAGCGCGTTCTCGGTCTGGCTGTCCCTTAATTTCGAGGCTTCGTCCGAGCTCAACGCCAGACCTATCGTGCTCAGGGAGTTGGATCTCGTCGGACCAGGACTCGGTGGTGGAGAGACTCGTGACGAGATGATGTTGAGAGAGTTCATCTTGCCGCCGACATGGAGAAGGCCATGAAGAAAGGAAGGGATGCGGAACCGCGCCAAGCTGGTGAGGCTTTGCGATTAAGGTTTTTGGGGATAGGGGTGTGGTGTAGGTAATACGTAGTGTTCGCTCCAGAGGTCCAGCCGAAGGGAGGACAAATTCTAGATGCGCACGCGTGAAAGCGAGGCCGGTGACCGAATAGGTAACTCCAGTCAATGCGCTCAGCACAAGCCTTTGCGATTGTGGTCGGCCGTTGCTGGAGTCTTCGAGACCGATGTCTGGTGAGGGAGGAAACGAGTCGGGGAAGATGATGATATGCCGAGAAAAGGCTTGAACGACGGGACCTAGGGCGCGGGTTGTCGGGGTTGACGGACGGCAAAGACCGGGGCTGCTATGAATCGAAGGTCAAAAAGAACGGATGGTGCAGTCACCTAAGTTGGCCGCTGTCGACAGCCTCGGCACCGTGTCAGGACTTGTTGGAGCCCGATCGAGATGCTCTGGCAGCCTTCTTCTCCCCAAAGCAACGCTGGAACCGGGAATTCAGAAAGAAAAAAGAGTACCGAGTTGACAAGAGGTGCCGTGTCTTTTCGCATCACTTTGATAGCCAACGGGACAAGAGATCTCAGAGGTCGGCAATGTCATTCGGCGCTGCAGTGCACTGCTGCCACTAGCACATGGCGCTAGCGCGACCTTCAACTGCCTTTCAGCAAACGGGCCCAGGCGCGGGCTCAACAAAAGCCTCCCTGTCATAAACGCAGACGCCTTCACGTGCCACTGCCACTGCCAGGTCAAGTCAAACCATGCATCATCGTATATGTACATAATATTGGCAGGGAAGCTGTAGTAGTTTCCCCAAAGTAGTGTCAGATGGCCAAGATGCATCGAGGTCCAAGTTTCTGGCTCAAGCAAGCTCTTGATAGACAGCAAACTGTTTTGGGGAATGTGTAAGGACAAGCTTGTCATCTCCACTGGTTCGCAGCCGAAGTGGGAACTCGAGTGCAACGTTTCTTACCGAGAACCTATGAGGGCACTGTTGTTTCTCAGCATTTTCTGGACATTGCTGGCTTATGGTATTTGTTGAGGGCAGCATATTGAAGTGTGGTTGAATTCCACGTGGCTGGCCACTGTCTACATGTTGCCAGGCTTGTTCGTGGAGATGTTGACGGAAAGGAAGTAACAGCCACTTGTCAGCCATGTAGCTGAAAGAACCCGGGCCTCGAAGCTCTCAATGCAGTGATGTAAAACTGACAGTGCACTGAATTCCTTGGTACAGAACGCAAAGGACTGTCATCTCGAAACCAAAAGTGAGTTCTACCCTCGACTCCAATTCATGACCACCGGGTTAGTTGATATACAGGTTCCTCTATTCTATCACACGTTCTCCCCTGGCCCACTTCTTCATCCCATCTAATCTGATTTACTCCTCCTCAGAGGCGAACTCAGCACGGCCAGCCTTCGAGTTGAGGTACTCATTCCTGCACATCCATTAGTCATTGTCGGCTCGAGTTGAAGCTGTCCATGAAAGCCATACCGCTCGATAGCCCAGTTCATGATGTAGTATCCGGCAATCATAGGAGGGGCCCAGTAGACGACCTGGGTGCTGAACCGTCTCCAGGTGTTGAAGATGGCGTCGTGGAAAGCACCGGCGAGGGGCTTTTGGCGGTTAGGGGCGATACCGTAAGAGACAATGCCCTTCTGCTTCATGCCACCTGTTGAAAATTCCGAGTCAGACCAGGTCCAAGCTGTTTTCCAAAGTGTTCCGTTCACAGAGTGCCCCCCAGTAATCGTTTGTCGTTTATTGCCGGCCATTCCATTTCCATATCATTATTTTCCGGCATCCCGAACATCCCAATCCAGATTCTTCCAAGTTCCTCCGGGAATCGTATCGTCGCGGTTTCACTCACCAAAGTTACCCCAGTTACCGAGGAAGCTATAAACATGTCAGCAGCCGCTCCCAGAGGTGTTTGGCTGGCGCATCGAGGGTGGGCTCGGCGAGGGGTCGAGGGGGGAAAAGGCGCATCATGGCCTGGATTGCACCGGTTTGGGCGCACTCACTTGTTGTGGCGGCCGATGGGGGCATTGCTGCCACCGCCGAGACGGACCTGTGTAGGCTGCATTTTGAATTGAGGGTGTATCGAGACGGGCGCGTGGGCGAGAGTCAATCGAAATCGTAGTCGACGCAAGCGAAGTTCGGAATAGCACGCGGCAGCTCGAAGTTGAAATCAGTCGACAGAAGCCGAGAAGCAAATCCCCAAAGCGGCTTAGCGCCCAGTTGCGGTACGTAACCTGAAAAAAGCTCGCCCGTGCCGACCCCCCCGGATGCGCCCGGGCCACCTCTCAACGACGAACATTTGGAAAGTGGGCTGCCCGCAGAGCTTCATGTCCCCACTTCAGTAGAAGCTCCATCCATTCCCATCGCCATCACCATCGCAAAGGAATCCCACCGACACAGTCGAGGTCAACAGCGCCTCTCTACACACAATGGCCGCCAGAGGTCTCGGTTTCATTTATGCGGCTGCGCTCCCCGCAGTGGTCGGCGCAAGCTTTCTCCAGTCGGCCCTCTACGATGTCAAGGGCGGTACCAGAGCTGTTATTTTCGACAGGATGTCCGGTGTAAAGGAGCAGGTCGTTAGCGAAGGCACACATTTCCTCATTCCCTGGCTGCAAAAGGCCATCATCTTCGATGTACGGACAAAGCCTCGCATCATCGGCACCACCACCGGCTCCAAGGATTTGCAAATGGTCAGCTTGACGCTCAGAGTACTCCACAGGCCCGATGTTCAGGCTCTCCCCAAGATCTACCAGGTTCGTCTTTGCACATATATATCAGAGTACTTGTTGGGCTAGACGCTGACGTTTTTTCATGTAGCAACTCGGCCAAGATTATGATGAGCGTGTGCTCCCCTCCATCGGTAACGAAGTCCTCAAGTCTATCGTTGCCCAGTTCGATGCCGCCGAGCTCATCACCCAGCGTGAGGCTGTCTCCAACCGGATCCGGACCGACCTTATGAAGCGTGCCCGCGAGTTCAACATTGCTCTCGAGGATGTGTCCATCACTCACATGACGTTCGGCAAGGAGTTCACCAAGGCCGTCGAGCAGAAGCAGATTGCGCAGCAGGATGCCGAGAGGGCGCGCTTCATCGTTGAGCGGGCCGAGCAGGAGCGCCAGGCCAATGTTATTCGTGCCGAGGGTGAAGCCGAGAGTGCTGAGGCTATCAGCAAGGCGATTGCCAAGGCCGGCGATGGTCTTATCCAAGTGCGCAAAATCGAGGCCAGCAGAGAGATTGCGCAGACACTGGCTTCCAACCCCAATGTGGCCTATCTTCCAGGCGGTGGCAAGGGCACGAACCTGTTGATGAACGTTGGGCGGGCGTAGGGAAAGATTTAAAAGGGGGTGATCATGAAAAGGCCGAGGATAATACAACAAAGGCTGTGTATACTATGTGGACTGTGTGGATTGTATGGATATATCCCCCTCTCGGAATGTCATGAGAATGAGCACTTGATTCAACCAAACTTGGTTACCTTGTGCATTCTCAACATGTCTAGACTTCAGTGCCCACTATCGCGCTGCTTGATGGGTTATAAGAGAGTCAGTCCTGTTTAAAAATCAACCTCTCAAATCTAGGTAGGTAAACATTGGATGTCTTGGTTACACAGCATGAACGATGATAGTGGTGGACTGGCAGTGGGTCTGCAGGGGGTTTTTACACTAGCACGCCAGCGCGTGCTTCAGTTGGATCCAGCCTTACCATGTCTTGGCGCGCCCCATTCCAGGTTCACGACTGCCGAAACTTGGGACCTGCGACCTGGACTTGCCTGGGCTGTTCCGTGAACAAAGACATGATCAAAATTTGACCTTCTAATAATTTCTAGTTTGATTTTTCACTTTCATTTTGGTAATCAGTCTGTACTCTTGCTCTGCGATTTGCAGGATTGCGCATTCAGTTGAGAATCCTACTTTTTTGGACACGGGTCACAACATCATACCAGTGGAAGCCATATCTTACCTGCCATTGAGTCTCATCTTGGAGATTCCTCATCACTTCGATCGCATCAATAGTCAAAGGCAATCTCGCATTCCCATGACAGCAAGGCCTTTCGTGAGCCCGTCATTCCGCTCCTGCCTGGGCGCAATCGGTTGCTCCTCTGGTGTTGCTCGTCCGCCGTTTCGGAAACCGGTCTCACTTGCGCCCGTCTATTCGATACGCCATCGGCGAGGAGCAGCCACAGGACCACAACATTGACTCGAAGCTCCGATTGTGGGTACACCCACTCTTATTATGACCACTTTTGCTGACGGTGAATAGATCTCTAGAGGTCGTCACCCATCTACTTACGTGCGCGAGACAGAGCCACCTGGAGCTATGGAGGCCATGGAGGCAGTCCTTCGCAACTTCAAGCAGATTCCCTGCCCCGACGGCGACCAGTGTACCACGCCTTCGTGTCAGTGGCAGCACAGTTGGGATAGGAATCCTCCAGCGGCCTCTTCATCGACATCACCTGCGCCCGTCACGAAGCAAGACGAGACTTTAGCTCAGGACCCGGATGGCCCGCGGAAACGACGTAGGACCTCGTCCGAAGCTGGGTCCGCGACTGCTATTACCACTGCTACAGGAGCTGTCTCTCCTCCCCCGCTCAAGCGCAAAGCACCTGAGCACTCGACTTTGCCCGCTCCGGCCAGCAAGGTACAAAGGCCGGTTGCCACTGCTCCCGCATCCTTGACAACTCCCTCCAGAGCAACTGCTTCGATCAGCGCTAGCCCCAGCACTGTATCGAAGCAAAGCGCCGCCAAACAGATCACAGCCCCAAAGCAACAAGCCACACCACGCAAACCAGAGACGCTCAACCCGCGCCATCTCACCTCGGCTGCCCCAGCCTCCCATGAGTTCCGGTTCAAGGCCCTCAAGATGCTTCATGAGCAGTTCAAGCGACTCAACGATGAAGTAAAAAAGGACGTCAAAGAAGACGAACAGAAACTTGTCCTCACAGAACAAGAACTCATCTGGTTGGCCCTGGATGTCGAGCAGAAGATGGCCACAGAGAAGCCCGTCATCTATACCAACGTCATCAAGAACGAGATCATGGCGTACAGGAAGAAGACCCCCGGTCGGTGGAGAGACGAGCGACTTGCCGAGTGGCAGAAGAGGAACGAGCCCAAGACCCCGGTCAAGAAGTTGAGACTTGGCCCGCCCAAGGAGGTCAAGACAGGTCTGACTCCCCAGGAAGAGGTCAGTTTCCTCGTCCACCTTCTCACCCCCATCACCGAGCTTGCCGAACATGGTTATGTCGTCAGACCACCTACCTACGAGGAAATCAGAAGAGCCCGTGAGGGCGAAAAGGCGTCCTTGGGATGGGAGGTATGTGACCGCTGTACCACAAGATTCCAAGTGTTTCCTGGAAGACGAGAGGAAGATGGTGCCCTCACCTCAGGTGGGACCTGCACCCATCACAGCGGTCGAGCGTACTTCCCCGAGCGAGTCCCGGGCACCGTCGACCGACCGCCGAAGCGATACCGCTGTTGCCAGGAAACAGTGGGTGAATCCACTGGCTGCACCGTCGGAAGTACCCATGTCTTCAAAGCCTCTGCTCCGTCTCGACTGGCTGCGTTGATGCCCTTCATGGAGACACCGCCCAATCCGTCGGTACCCAAGGATCGCGCTGTTTGCTTTGACTGCGAGATGGGCTACACTGCCCGCGGACTGGAGCTGATCCGGCTGACAGCCACCAGTTGGCCAGATGGCAAGGAGCTGCTCGACGTGATTGTCCGCCCCATTGGTGAGGTTCTCGACCTCAACTCGCGCTACTCTGGTGTTTGGCCCCAGGACATTGCCAACGCCGAGGAGTGGTCGCCAGGCAAGCCTCTTACTACTGTTGTCGAGTCTTCGGATACCGGTCGTACCAAGAAGAAGCACATGACAATTGTTCCTTCCCCCATGGTGGCACGTGACTTGCTCTTTTCGTTGATCTGCCCCGAGACTCCGCTTATTGGGCACGCTCTGGAGAACGACTTGAACGCGGTTCGCATTGTTCACCCTACCATCATCGACACGGCGCTCCTTTTTCCTCACAGGCGCGGCTTACCCATGCGATATAGTTTGAAGATGCTTATGGAGACAGAGCTCAACAAGGCCATCCAGGTGGACACCAAGGAGAACCGGGGTCACGACAGCGGCGAGGATGCCAGGGCCGCTGGAGAGCTCGTCAGGCTGAAAGTCATGGAGAAGTGGGACCAGATGAAGGGAGAGGGTTGGATGGTGGTTGATGGGGCTTTTGTGCCACCTGGGTGGGGCAAGACAAATATCAAGGGAGGAGCTTTGAGTGAAAGATTCCTGGAGAAGAAGGAGGAAGGGGAGTTGGGGGAGGAAGACGAGGTAGAGCCGGTGGTGTTGGATGGCAGTGGCACAGGAGGCAAGCTTTACTCTCTTTAGGATTGGGGAAGGCCGTTGGTCTTGATCACAGTGGTCTTGATCACTATCACAGGTCGCACGGGAGTGACATTTGTTCGGAGAGGTCGCAGCTTGGTTCAGAGCATTGCTGGCTTTATCAGGAGGCACTGGTGATAACAAGGACATGCTTTTTTCAGAGCGCTAGATGAGCAAGCGATTAATTCACATTGCTGTTTCTCGGCCTAGCATTGGTGTATTGACTGTTTGTAGGATTCATCATTCATTGCCGTGTTCATCACCCGTTCTCCAAAAGCATGCTTGTTATTTTTAGGGTCCAGGGGTCCATTTTCTCCACGGTTTGATTCTCGAGATCGGACTTGGGTGACGTCAGGATCCATTCTCTCGGCACCTCAATGACGGAACAAAGGCGTGAAGTAACGAGTCGGGTGGTCTCGCGGGACGAAGGACGGCCCCGGATTCATCGTGAGCTTTGATATCGAGGAGGGGAGATTGCGATAGGGATTAGGTAAAATGTCGTCGGCTTGGGGTTCGGGGAAAGATGGAGTTGGGACAAGGTTGGGTTATCTTGGCGATCGGGGAAAGGAAGTGGATTCAGCTGGAGGGCGTCATGATATAAGTAGATGCGGCGATTCTAAGGTGGTGGGATGTCCGCTCATATCGATTTGAATCGAGGGTTTGTCTGTTATTTACGCTCTTGGTTTGCAAAGAAGCTATTCAGTGTTTGTATCCTCGGCCCCGAAGCGGTAAAAGGAGGCGAATATAAACTTTGAAGGCCGGCATACCTACTACCCAGAGAAGAGTCAAACAGGGAAGATCCAGATATTTGGGGTAACGGTCAGTGAGATTTGAGATGAGGATCTGGGCTCATGAACTGTATGCTTACCCTGTCTTTGTAGACTTGCTTCAAGGTGAAGCACCTTCTCAGTCACCGCAGTCCGAAGTCGTCAAACAAACATCAACACAAATCACCCTCACAATGTCAGACGGAACAAAAGTCGTCGACTCAGACAGAGGTATTTTCCTTCCCAGGTATCCCTGAGTATCACTCACTCAGTCGCTAACGATGCCCTCAGTCTACACAACCCTCATAACCTCCCTCTCCTACCTCCCCGGCCTCCTCACCCTCCACCACTCCCTCGTCCACCGCTCCAAATCAAAATACCCCCTCATAGCCCTCTACACCTCTTCCTTCCCCCAGTCGGGCCTCGCCATCCTCCGCCGCCGCAACATCCCCTGTCAGCTCATAACCCCCTTATTCCCCTCTTCTTCTTCTTCCTCAAACACCCCCTCCTACTCCCACGACCCCCGATTTAAGGAATGCTTCACCAAGCTCATCCCCTTCTCCCTCGTGCAGTACAAAAAGATCATCCAGCTCGACTCGGACATGCTGGTCCTGCGAAACATCGACTCGCTATTCGACATTGAACTCGACAGCGACAAGAGGGTGTTTGCCGCGAGCCACGCGTGCTTGTGCAACCCTTGTCAGTTTGAGCACTACCCGGATTATTTCCGCCCCGAAAACTGCTATTACACCGACCCGACCAGCATGGGGAAGGACTACCTTAATGGAGGGCTGCAGGTTGTGAGGCCTGATTTGGGGGTGTATGAGGAGATTGTGGGGTATATGAACACGCCGGGGATTGATCTCAGTTTTGCTGACCAGAGCGTTCTTGCTGGATGTTTTAGAGACAGATGGGTGGGTTTGGGGTGGGAGTTTAACGCGCTCAAGACGATGAGGTGGAGGGGGGTGCACGATGATGTTTGGGGGGATGGGGAGGTGAGGAATGTGCATTACATCTTGACGCCGAAGCCGTGGGAGGAGGAGAGGGATGAGAAGGGTAGGGTGGTCATGGGGGAGGGGAAAAGGGGGGCGGGGGACAAGGTTACGAGTCAATGGTGGGTTGATGTTGATGATGAGAGGAGGGAGCGGGAGGAGGAGAGAGGGATAAGGGATGGGTGGTGAGGG